GGCTGGGCAAAACGTTTCCAGATACACAGGGTAAAAAACGACTGCGAGGTGCAGACGACCGGGCAAGGAAAACGTGAACTGTCATCTCTTGGGAATTTAGTTCAGTGATTGCCATTCACACAGAACCAAATATCAGCACAGCCGAGCACAGCTCACAATTCATACGAGGGTCGTTATACTCTGACTATAGGGATAGAAGTCAGTCGATTTCACTGAAGGGCGATGGAATTCTACGACTACAAATGTGGTTTAAAGTAGCAGCAGCAGTGTTGATCATCTGCGAGCTACCTCTAGTGATGACGCGCTTTTGAGAAGCACTGTGTTCTTAAATGTCAACTGCATGATGCGTGGAGTCTGAAACGAATAAACAACAGCTGCAATAGAGGCCTTCATTGAATTGGTCGAAGGGTTAACCCTTTCGGCATGGTTAAGCTGTTTCACCAAGTGGATTGAGCGCATAGAACTATGTGTGCATCAACGCTGATGGAGAATACTTCGAGACAATTATTGCTTACTTTTGTGCAACAAATAAAAAATTTTGTCCATCCAGGGACTTTTTGCTCAAGCTGTGATGATAGCTATGTGGATCATTCACATGACTCGTGAGTCTCATGTTGTATCGCTGCCTTTCGGTGATAATTCGAGAACATATGGAATGTGGTGATTATGAGAGCAGTGAAGAAAAACGGCTGACTAGAGCGGCCCAAATGATGAGCACGTGGATGGAGGAATAGGTCTGAATGATCATAACTGTGTGAAAGTCAACGCTATGGCGACAATGGGTGTTTACTGGCAAAATTATCCTCAATGGACGAATACAGTTAATTTTTGGTTTGACTGTATGGCAGGTGATTAGGATATATATTATTCCATGGAGTTCAGACTGCTTGCTAAACAAACATATGGACGTAATACTGCCAGGTTGCTTGGCCTAAACCGGTGAATACTTCCTAGGGTATTCATAACAAGCGCGTTCCGTTACCCAAAGCCCGGAGGGCAGTGCCCAGTTAATCTGATCATATACCTTTTGAATGGGATGCGTGGGTGCACGCTTACTGATCGTCGAAAATGAAATGAACTGATATTGAGTGACACTGAGTTTCTTTAAAACCGACAAGGAACCCCTTTATTATGATGTCAATCATTGGAGATAAAATGGGGAACAAACTTTTCACGTTTTTTTAAGTCTCAAGAAGACAAATGAGGGAGGATCGAAATGGGACTCACCATGTTGAGTTTGGTACAAGTTACGGGTAAATGCGGACGATAGAATCCACGTTCCGATCCGATCGGTCCGGGGATGGCAGGGGCGGAGAGCAATGCGGCCACAAAATTGATCCGTTCGACCCACATGTCTAACTCTTTTGCATCGCTGTATTCCCGACGCACAGGTAAAGGGAGAGCAGCGGAAAACACAATGAACACAATATGTAGGCGAGCGTCAGTGAGATACAACTGTGCGGTCCACCAATAACCCCCAAACAGATAATAGTTTTTGCAGTAAAAGTAAGGGAAGAGTAGTCTGTGGTTCGAGAGAAAACATTGTTGAGAAAGCGAGCAAATATATCGAGGACAGACAAATGTCAGTAGACTAAAGAAAATGCTAAATGGTCAGTAACACACATAAGTTATGGTCAAGAAAATCTCACCCTCCTGATTGGTTACAAGTTCCGGCACTATTGTCGCAAACGGTTTCGTGTCAGTTCCATCTGATGGAAGACACTTTGAATGTGACCTGTGCCATCGTTTCATACCTCGTCGATAACAATAACTCAACGAGTGTGAACGAAGCATTTCAGCCTATCTGCCGTGTTCGGGGTCCCCGATCGAAGCTGATTAAAAATTGCATCCTAGCCAACGCGGAGGCGGTTGGAATTCGTCTACACAATCCCCCCCCCAATGAAGTCACTCAACCTACTACCGCCTTCCACCACAAATCACATAAGTAACACAAACAGAGCATAGGATCTGACGGCAAGATCAGTCACATCCCGTTGGTGAAGCTGAAAACAAAAAAATTTCCATTTGAATATTTATTTATTTTGCTTCCTCTTTTCTGTACAAAATGATTAAAAAGCGACGCATTAGCCAGATGATGAGTCGCCGAAAATAAGTTTGTTCGCTGAATCAGTATTACCTCATTAGGAGAAGTTCACTTGCTAAAGAATTTTCATAGTACCTTAACTTGTTGGGGACCTACCACCGGCTTGAATGTGAGTTGGCTCAGGGAGCTACACCACGTTGGTGCTTCGCAATCAGATTAGCACAAACATAAATTCAGCCGATCCAAGTTTTTCATATCGGTTCCGATTAGGGTTTTTCTTCGACTGCAGGAGGGAATCGGGTGAAGACTGCATTTCGAAAGTGCACATTCTGGTTATCACAGAACGCGGACGAATCAGTGGAGGCGGTTGTGTCGAAGAAACGATAGCAATTTCAGTATTTGGGAGCAGCACTGTCTAGCCATGCTTTTGGGGATACAGCTTTGACAATGTATTTTCACCATAATGCATAGATAGCAATAATGAAGAAAAAATCAAATGTTCAGATTACCTCGACTCTCACTGACTATGTTCCACATAGTCAGATGATCCCTTGATATACACGCGTTTTTGTTCGAAGGCTTACTTGACTGCGCGTCCACAATGCCTTGCGAAACTGTAAGAATACTCTCCGGACAAAGTCAACACGTGTTTTTTAATTTCATCCTCTACGGACTTTTCAGTGTTATGGTGGATTTAAAATACTTGAAGGATTCCACTTGTTTTATTGATCTCCCTCCCAAATGATATGCAGTGGATAAGGTAAGAGTCTGGCGGTGTGCATTTAACAAACTGTTTTTGTTTTCTCCGCTTCTGTTCCAATGCTTTTCGTTCACCCATGGTACCGAACCTGTA